CTGTGTTACAGTTGCGCGGTCGATCCGCTCTTTGCACACCTCTTCTTGGAATCCCCCGACTTTCCCACTCCTAAAAGTCGACACATCTGAGCATTCTAAACTCACTTTTACATGCCCGGAATCCGATAGTAATAAATTTGACGGCTTGATATCGCGATGAATAATTTTTTGATAGTGCACTAAAACGAATGCGTGATTTAAACTCTTAGAAAGTCAGGCAATGAAGGAAAACTTACAATATTCTAGTCCCCGTAATGTGTCCCTAAAGTATTTCCAAGCGCTATCCTCATCCAATGGTTTATCCGTAGGCACATCCAGTATACTGCCTCGTTCGACAAACTCAAAAACCATGTACAGGTAGTTGTCGTTGGGATCGTCCAAGACCTGCAACATATACTGAGCTCATTGAACCAATCAGAGGCTTAGTCACTGATTGGTTAATAGGTGCATACTGATTTGTTCAAATTTTGAAAATCTGGAACTAGAAACGTTGAACTACAGAAAGAGTTAGTGAAAGTGCAATTCGATCCATGACCTCCTACGAACTCCCCTGCCAAATTAGCTCCTCCCTGAGCCACGCCCAAAACAAAACAAAACATCTATTTGCCCGCTTAGCCCTTTCTCTTGTTCCTCTCTCCTACTGACACGGGTGTATGACTTTATGAACGATAGCATGCGCCAGCCGCCAGCTGGGTACCGTACACGATGCGCTGAACGCTCCGCCCCAGTTAATTAGCGCAGGGATGCGATTTCATAAGCTTTCAGTACCATGAGATTTGAAAAACTACGATTGAGCTAGTTGTTTCAAGCACGAATATTGCTCATACTTGGTGTAAATAACCACTTATGACGGTGTTCTAAAAGATCACAAACCGCTCGTTTTAGCAATTATTCAGCCACACCTAAGAAATTTTTCAAACAAACAGAAACACATCGCTTATGGGTTCTTTTCAAACAAGCACATAGCTTACTTTCAGAGCTGTTCAGGGGACTAGTGAACATGTCCATGAACCAGCGCTAAATCTGTAGTGCGAAAACTCGTCCACCGAGCAGCAGACGGGGCTAACGGTGCGCACCTTATTGACACATGCCTGTGCAAGCGCGCGCTATCGTTCATAAAGTCCGCCATCCTACTTAAACTTACCTCGACAAGTTTCACGACATTTGGATGGCTAAGTTTCTTCAAAATGGCAATTTCTCTCTGCACCAATTGCAAAGGATTTCTATGCGTCAGAGGCGGTGCTTTTGACTTTCGTGCCGGCGGTGGTCCTGCAAAGACTTTTGTAGGGTTTACAATTACATAATTGGAGATCTGCACTTACGAAAGCACGCAAAGTTCTTGATCAGTTTGATCTTATCCAAAACTTTCAGAGCATAGAGATTTTTGTCTTCTTCATTGTAGGCGAGCTTGACGATGCCATATGAGCCCTGCGAATCAACTTTTCAGAGAGTAGATGATTATAGAATTTGTGACGTGCAGGATTAGGATGGTTTGGAGCAAAAGGGTTATTCCTACTATTAGGACTATATAGGTGCACTTTGGTATACCTCTTGATGATTCGTAATTTTTTGTATTTTTACTTTTAATTCATTTTTTGTGCTATGCTATGGGATGCG